TTCTGTCATACATAGGGTCGCTATGAGTCGAAGCCAACTCAGTGGCACCTAAAAACAACAATAATACCTTTAATTTGCATTGAACATTAGTTTGCATTGAACATTTTGCACTTACTTCTATAATAGCAGCATTAATGGCAGCTTGAAAAGCCACAAAACCTTTCTCCCAGAATTCTGAAATTTCACATTCAATATCTCCATTCATTCCATAACAATGAGCTTTGGGAAAAGAAGGAAAACATAACTTCATCAGGGACTGTCTCAGTCTGATTACAGGAAGCAGTGGAATTTACAATGGATCCAAACTCCAAATGTTGTTATGTTGAATCAAGCCCATGAAACATAAATTATAATAAGGATTCTCAAAGTGAGGAGGGCAGGGCACACCCAGGGATATTCTGCCTTAAATTATAACACACACCCGACCCTTTCCCACAGGGTCTTCTGTGCTTCTCTGCCAGTGAAGGGTTTTGCAGAAGTCTTGTACAATTTTGCATTGTGAACACAATGTTGTTTAAATGCTTTTCAAAAGTTAGCAGAGTCTAATATGGACTGAAACATGTTGAACTAAATTAAAGCTTCTTCTAGTAGGCTAACATGGGCTATTTCACAAGCACAGACGACAAATGGAAGTTCAAATGAGGCAACTTCCTTCACTTAAATCATGATGACTAGAACATCTTTTGAAGAAGAAGGTTTACATATTAAAACATAAACACACACACATGTAAAAACTACTTTCCCACTGAGAATTAAACTATATTAAAGAGATATTTTTAATAAGATTTGTTTAAATGGAGCACAAGCAATAAATGAATATTGTATTAATTTTTAAATACTTTTAAAATAATTTTGAAATACTCACACCTATAGATGGTACAAAATAAACCATCATAAGAACAGTTGGAATTCTCATGTGTGCTCTCTGATCTTACTGCTTTTCTTATCACCAAACTTTTTCCTTATCACTCTAACTAGGTATGTTACCTCCACCATGTATAGCTCTAAACTACATATACCATTT